AAATAAATAAATAAATAAATTTAAAAAAAGAAAACTACAATTAAAATGCCACAATAAAGAAAGTCTTCCAAATAGAAGTGGCAGCGATTTTATCACCTAGTGACCTTTATCTCATTAATGATAAACTACTGGTAGCTGAAAGGGACACTTATTTCCCCTGAGATTTTTTTCATTAGTGCATTTTAATTATATAAAATAAAGGTTTTAATTGTGGCATACTTCTACATCCAAATACCATACCTTGATCATAGCCACCTCCCTGTTACTACTGTCCCTTGCTCTTCTCTCTCCTGTTCCCCCTGATCCCCTTCCTCTTCTGCTACTTTTGGTTGTCTTTTTTCCGAATATATCGTATATGAAAGAAAGTCAACTTGTCTTTTGTTTTCTTATTTTGCTTAATATTACGATTTCCAGTTCCACCCATGTTCCTGCAAATGATGTGACTTCATTCTTCTTTGTGGTTGAATAATACTCCATTATGTGTATATATTTTCTTGTTGTGGTGCTTGGGTATTAAACACAGGGACACTCTACCACTGAGCTACATCCCCAATACCACCCCTCCACTCTTTTTTTTTTTTTCTTTGAGACAGTTTCTCACTATGTTGCCCAGGCTAGTTTCCAACTTGCACTTCTACAGCCTCAGCCTACCAAGCTGCTGGGATTATTGGTATGCACCATGTTAATATGTTAACCTATTTTCTTTATCCATTCCTCCACTGATGGGCACCTAGACTAACTAATTCATAATTTACCTGTTACGAATTATGCCATGATAATTCATATGAAGGCATGCAGGTGATAGTGGAAATGCAGGTATATTTATAATATGCTGACTTTAATTACTTTGGGTATATATCCAGGAATTGTACAGCTGAATCATATGATAGTTCTATTTTTAGTTTTTTGAGGAACCTCCAAGTTGRTTTCCATAGTGGCTACACTAAATTATATTCCCACCAACAGTACCATAAGGATTCCTTTTCCTTCACACTGTCTCCAGCATTTATTATTACTATTTATTATTTTGTATTCTTAGTGACAGTCATTCTGATAAGGGCTTTTTTTGTAAATCAATTTCAGAGAGGTGATGGATTATAGGAAGGTTGGGATTTGCTCAAGAAGATTTTTGTTCCCCCTCCTCKCTATCTTCTCCTCATGGACAACAGGGATCCCATCAGAAAATGAAGAGAAAAAACCACAGTGACTGAGGAATGTAGAGGAATGCAGGAATAAGGGGGAAAGTTCCTCATAAAAATTATAAAACTGAAAACTTGGTCTTAAATGTGGTCTTTCCATGTCCTTTTTATTCTTACTTTCCCTCATACATCCTTTTCTTCCCTTTGTCCTCTCATCTCCCAACTTCTACTTTCCACCTATCCTTTTAACTATTTGATCCTTTCCTAAGTCTGAGGAATTTCAAGTATTAAACCAAGGCCTGGACAGGAGAAATTTAGTCTTAGCTATCGTTGGCAGATAAACTGCAGAATGCACAGTTAAATTTGAATTTCAGGAAAACACATAATTTTAATATCAGTAGTCTGCTACCAGAATTGCACGTTCTGCTGCTTGCCACCCAACTGCAAAACTCAGGAGACAGAGGCTGATGGAAGAAAACAGGTTTACTAAAAGCCAAGGAAGATAGAGGAGACCTTTTCTGCTTCAAATCTCCATCTCTGGAGGGTTCAGGGGTGCAAACAGCTTTTGTAAGAGGAAAGGGTGGAAAGGGTATACAGACAGACAAAAGGCAGGAAATATACATATGCAGATTTAGCTAGACAGTATTAGTCAGAGAATGTATTAYAGTTCTAGTTTTTCAACCCTTGCTGGCACCTGCCCAGGCTTTGAGGCCAGTTCTTGGGTTTCCATTCTTAGCATGAGGAAGCTCAGTTGCAGAAAAATAATATATCAGGAAATTGGGGCGATTGGAGCTTTTAATCCTACAGGGGCTCTCTTACATGTCTCATGCAATATTTGAGACATACTGTATTTAAATCGTATTGTTTATCTGAAAAGTAAATTTAACTGGATGTCTTATCTGGCACTACCAGTCTTAGGAAACTCCTACTCAAACTGTAATGTATATACATATCTCATGGGTTTTATTGGAATACAATTTGGTGTGGGATTCTAAGTTTCTGATGAGCTGCATGCTGTTGATGCTGGCCTGAGAACTGCCTTTTAAGTAACAAAAATCTATAACCACACAATATATGAAATTTAAAACTTTCTGGGAGCCACATTGAAACTAAAAATATACATGAAATTAACTTAGTACTATTTTTATTTGACCTATCTAAAATATTACCATTTTAAACCTTCTSAATTTTAAGAG